TTTATCCTCCGGTCCGTCCGTCAGTCCGTTCGTCCCGTCAGGTTCCGTCCGTCCACAAAAACTGGATCCTTGCGATAACGCAAAAAAGTACTGAAAAATATTTTTAATGAAACTTGATATATATAGTTAGATGGAAGTATGGGAAATTATTGCACTCCTTTTTTCTTTTTTCCTATGTTTGAAAATTCTGGTTGCCTATGGCAAAAACAGACGCTGAAAATATGGCAAATTTTCCACATAACCTGGATCCTGCGATAACCACAAAGTACTGAAAATTTTTTTGAACTTGATTATATGGATATATGGGGAGTTAGTGAAGGATTATGCACGTCTTTTTCATTTTTTCCTATGCTGAAAATTCTGGTTGCTATGGCAACAAATAGACTGAAAATATGGCAAATTTTACACATAACCTGGATCCAGTGATAACGCAAAAAGTACTGAAATTTTTTTATGAAACTTGACATATGGGTAGATGGGAGTATGGAAATTATGCACATTCTTTTTTTATCTTCCTATGTTGAAAATTCTGGTTGCTATGGCAACAAATAGACTGAATTTCAAGATTTCTGATTCTAGTTTTTAAGTTTTTTCCACTATAAGTTCTTTATTTCTAAAGGTATTTTCTTCAAACTTTAAATATAAGTTGCTAGTCATCAACCACATCATATGTGACAAAGTTTACAACTCTAGCACAAAATTTATCAGAATTACCTCCCTTGAAATTAAAATTTTCATGAAAAAAACATTGTTTTTTTTAATAACTTCTTTTTTCTCAATGTATCTTCTTCAAACTTCATATAAATGTTTCTTATTATCACTCAACATTTGTGAGTGTTCAATACTCTAGCAAGACTATTTCCAGAATTATGCCCCTTTTGAACTTTGACTTTTTTTGAGAAATTGGTAATTTTTACTCCAACTTCTTCGATCATGATAGGATTTTCTTCAAACTCCCACATCATAATAATATGACAAGGTTTATAAATCTAGCATCCATATTTACAGAATTATCTCCTCCTTAAACTTTTATTTTTTCCTATTCGTTCTTTTAACTTTCATTTACTTCAAATTCAAAATAAACTTTCAATATTCATACCTTCATTTCTAATTGTTTTTTGTTACACTCACATCATGTATGACATCGTTATCTCCTTTTAAAAAGTTTGTTTTAAAAAATGTTATATTTTGATAACAGGGATGTTTAAAAAATAACTTTAGAGTGTCCTTCAGTCCGTCTGTCTGTCTTTACATAAAAACTGTTCCCCTGTGATCACTTTTAAAGAACTTTTTCAACAAATTTACTTAAAATAGAAACATAAGTGAATGGCCAATGGCCCTTCAGAATGTTGCTTGGGCTCTTACCGGTAGCGGACTTATGGATTGCTTGCAATACTATGATAATTGCTTGTATTATAAGAAAACGTAAGAGTATCAAAAATCATGTAGCGTACCAAAGAATGGCTATAGCACTTGTGATAATTGTAAAATAAGTTTATAGATTCATTGCCTGGTTTAGGCCTGAAAACGGGATAAGAGGTTTTCTCTGAATGCTCCCACTCGGACTTTTCGCGAAACATATAAGAAATAAGGTTGAAAACCTTCTTGAAAATTATTTTTAACGTACCGGCATATAAACCGAGTCATGTTTACGCATTTTTCTAGATTTGTTTCAAATCTTGCTGTTCAAAAGTCAGTTTTTTAAAGTTTTTTTTATAAAAATGGAAAATACTCCCACTCGGACGTGATTTCAGAGATGCTCCCACTCGGACCCAAATATATATGTTCGTGAAGTTAGCCAGACAGCCGGAACAGCCGGAGCAGCCGGAACTCATTTTTGTCAACTCCGGCTGTTCCGGCTACTCCGGCTAGCCGGAATCCGGTTCCGGCTATACAGGCTGGCCAGAAATGATACAGTAAAACCTGTGCAAAAGACCACTGGCTAATTCCATAATTTAATGTCAAATTTCTTATCACAACGATCTCCGGCTATTACGGATAGCCAGAAAAAACAAAAATCAAGGCTACATCAGATGAAAAAAACCTTCAGCAGATTGAAGAATATATGTGTCGTGCATTGTGTGCCTGGATGTCTGCAGGTATAGGTTGTGTCCGTGTCTGGCTAACTTCACGACCATGAAGAATAAGATGTTAATACAAGTTATACATAGACGAAGTATTTTACTACGGGTCAACTGATATCGCCGCCAGAGATAACACATATAACATATCTTACCAGTACCTTTTTATGATGTTTACTTTTTTAAAGAAAGCGTGGCATTGTATTTGCGAAAACATGCTGTTTACAGTTGTTTTATAGTTATCATTGTATAAAGTATTAGTTAACAATATCTAATAGACATTATTTAATAAACTATACATGTACACGTATTTAGGAGAAAATGGTGTTTATTACTGTTTGTAACAGTTTCATAGTAATTGGTTTTACAATTCATAAACACAGACAGTGTGTGCCAATCACATAACATCTTCAAGAAATGCGATAAGTAATGAGAAGATGGGTATCCTTTCATTGGGCGATAATAATTTGTGATAGAAAGAATCGTTTAAAACATTTTCAATTCATTATTTTTCCCTTACAAAATTACACAGGAAAAACAAACGAGTAATTATTATAAAGGCAATTGTTACTTTTCAAAACATCCACGTTTAAAGTATGTTACAAATTAGTTTAAGTTCGCTAGTTTAGCTAAGTAGAGCATTAGAATATTGTTTGTTATCCAAGGGTCACTGGTTCTATCTTGGGGCGAGCTGAAATTTCTACTGTCAATTGATTTACGACTCTTAGTGTAATGGTTATATAGCTCTGACTGCTGATTTAATCAAAGTGCTGCAGCACTGAATGCGACAGACATGCAACCGGAGAGACATTAAGGCTTTTTTTAAGAAAAAAAAAACAACCCAAAAGATATAACAGAGAAAATTTGTTCCATACAATGTCGAAATTTGTAGAGCAATATATTTTATGTGTCCTAATCTGATATACTTCAGATTTTCAATTTCAAGCAGAACAAGTCCAAATTTTTAAATACTGAATGAAATGTATGCCTAAAAACTCTGGTCAAACTTGTAAATCAGTGTCCTTTGCGATTTATTCCAAGAAATGATATGTAAATAGAAAAAAACTGTCAACGAAATATTTCTAAAATATAACCATATGCAAATAAACTTCAAGCATAATACATAATACATGTGAGAATGTTAATTAGAATTGCTTCGTGTTATATCATAGTGGGCATGTAAACAATAAAATATAAGTCATTTGTATTTTTATTTCTCTTGGATATGTCTCATTAAAAATATTTTTGGTTAAAATCATCAGCAATTAATGGTGTATATTTTTAGATTTTTTTTTCATTTACGTCACTTAAGCACTACAGTGTTTAGTTGTCCCTTTCAATTTCACTCTAAATTCCATTTTAACTTGTTTGCTTCTTACAATTGTATAGAATTTCTTAAAGTACTGCATGTAAACAAAGTAAGTATCCACTGGTTTATCACATGTATAATGTGTACTCGTCCGACAGTCTGCACAGATGATGCAGAATCTATTTTTAGAATAGTGTAAGGCTATTATAATCTCATAGCAGGTTAACTCATATCGTGACCTAGAAAACTATGTAAACAAAGCACAAGAATCGGAAGTAGAACTGATATTATAACTTCCTTCAATAAAGATTACCATGAAAGACTTCATGGTGGTAAAGTGTTGAAAAACTCCCTTGTAGTTACTTACATGCATTTTCAAAAATAGATATTTATACATTGTAATACTTACCATTGTACTGTAGTCTAATTTATTAATAACTGCTGGATCCGCGGTATGAGTCACGAAAAGTGTTCTTCTTTTATTAATGCGCGATTTTTTCTAAAGTCACGAAAAACTTTTGATCTGTTAATAAAAATGTTTTGTTTAATGGGGAAATATTTATTTCCTGCTTATAATTTCTATGAATTATTGAGCTACACCTTAATTATAGCATAATTTGCTGTCCTACTTTTTCGACAGCGGTAAATCGTTTCAGCAGTTATTTGCATCATTGCGCAATAATACTACGGGGCTACAGCGTTTCTATCAATCAAATTCGTTTATATTTTAACTTGGATAACTTAATTTGAAATTGAAAAGGCTAAATATGGAAGTTTTTAAGATATCCCGACGAAGTATGGGAGTTTCATAGGATCAAATTCATGTACTATTTCTAGGGCTGTTATTCGGTTGAGGACACATTGCTCGATTGTAACCGACGAAATCCCATGTGTAGATGTCATAGCTCTGAACGCACCTGAGGGCGCGTCCGTCGCAAAAATACAGTGGGGTAAGCAGTCGGTCACTTGCGAAGAAAGTGGTAATAACAGATTTTTGAAATCCGGCAGCGGGATGCGTGACAACCAACCATTCAATCAAACAAACTTATTTATAGGGACCATTTCTTCATTCTACAGTAATGGAATATACAAGCAAAGATATATAGCAGTATCTAAGATACTACATTGTATATGGACAGGTCAGACAACAACTGCATCCCATATTATTTTGCCAGCCCCCCCCTTTTTCTGATCCTCATTTATTTTAAGCTTCGAGTCGCAGAAAATTCAGATGACTATACTTAAAACAGGTACATGTATATGGTCCTGAAGGTGACATACAGGAATAATCTTTTTTTTTGAGTTATTGCCGCAGCAACATGTTGAATGCAATTGTTCCGTTTCAGATCAAAACAAAATTCCACACTAATAAGTACATGTAAATCAATTCACTTCGAAACGAAAGACTGACCAGATATGCAGTCATACATGTGTTTACAGTAAAGTAAGACATTTGATGAATCGTCGCATATATACATACACCACTTATTAAACAAAGATAAACACTTAATTTTACATTAATTTATCGGAAACAAAACTTGAACAATCGCGGATATGATTCATACCCTCTCAAACTGTATTCAAAGCGACATTTATTTACAGTGGTGTGATAAATTGTTTGTAGGGAACAAAAACGCAAAGTATGGGAGTAAAAATGGATGATTTTGAGACCTCCGAATGTTCGGTTGACGATTATCACGAGCTCAATGCCTCCGACGAATACAATGAATTTCAATGTTCATCGTGCCTGAGAGAAGGTAAAAACATAAAAGCAGAAGTGTTTTGTGTAGAATGTGATAATTTTCTTTGCCAATCATGTTTGAAACAACACACTAAATTTGTATGAAGAGTCATCAAATCTTGAAGACATCTGAAAATCTTCGGTGTTCTGATAAAAGGATGAATAGCACTTTGGTTTTACATTCGCAAAGATGCGAGGTGCATCATGGAAAACTTGTTGATATCTTCTGTCAGGACCATAATGAAGTTTGCTGTGGCGCATGTGTCATCATTTATCATAGGTATGTCGAAGATTACTAACACTTTTGTAAAACCTTGAACACTGCTAGACGTAGAAACAGTTTAAATGCATGAAAAGTTATAAATATCTTTATTAGAATTTTTGGAATTACAGAAGAAGATTTTCAATTATCAAAACATTTTAAGTTAGTCTTTCATTTTGTAATCAATGCTTTTTGTGTTTAAATTTCAGTTCTTGCTTACACAAGTTGTATATACCTAAAGAAGCTAAAGATGCAGACGTGATGAAAGAAGCAAAAGATGCCGTAATAATTCATATGTGTAGTGAAAGACGTCATCTTTTTGCAAATTTGAAAGCACAGAAAAGTAATCTTTCCAGCCAAATAACTAAAAGTACCAACAAAATAATCAACCATTTCAAAACACTTGAATCGAATCTCTTATCTGAGCTTGAAGATAAGGTAACTACAATTGAAGAAGATGTACAATTAGATATAAACGACACAGATAAAGTAATTTCCACCCTACAACATGAAAATCGTCTTTTATCAAAACATATAGCTGAAACTTTCAAGGTCAATTCTTAAGATGTGTATGGAATTGTTTTGTCTTACATAATATATGTTGATATGTCCGCCAATAAAGATCATTAACTCTTTAATTACATTGTTACTAGGGTTATTTACAGAGAATTCATAATCTGGTAGTTAACAATGTCAATTCAAACCCTACCTGGGATTATTATTTCTTTCGTATGAGAATGTCACCAATCAAGCATATCGATGGTCAGTGCTGCTACTAGTCAACTTATCGTTCGCACATGAAAATATTTACCGAATGGTCGTGTCTGAGGTCTTCTGGTACCATTAGGGCTAGATAATGGCTATATGACTTTTACAAATGTTCTTGTATCTAAATAGAAAATAAATTGTTCTTACATTGATACGCAAAAATATTACAAAAAATAGTAAAAACAATAGATATAATTAAAGGACGACTAGATTTGATTTGATTTTTTTCAAGTTTAATGCACACAACAATACGATGAGATCACATTAAAAATGAATGAAATAAGACAAAATCAGTTGTATTATTACATGTATTACAGCCAAAGCTTCCGAAAACAGTCATTAAACATTAAATACAATTTGTACATGAGAAGAAGCAAACACAAACTGAACAATGAATATACCTTTACTTGTGCTGGAAGACAATTTTAATCATGAATAAACAATAATAAATACAATAGCTATACTTTATGCTAGTACGTTTTTCATACTCTTATACTCTTTAAATGACACATTTATTACAGCATTCTGTTTTGTCTATGTTTATTAAATTTGACATTTAATACGATATATCAATGAAACTCCAAATTTCTAATTTCTGTCTATTTATTCTATCGTGAAGCCTCCTAGCTAACCCCATTAGTATCATTAGTTTGTGTGTTACTTATAAATATAGATAAAGGTAATTATGTTTTGTTTAACAAAAAATGATGAAAAAAATTGGAATCACCTAAAAACTAGTTTTTCCATGTTGACTGGACTATTGCCTTTGTAACGACATGCTCAGTCTTAAATTTCCTGTTACCATGGCAACGAGGGGACATCTCAAAATTGCCAAAATCACTATTTTGCATCGGTTTTTTCCATCAAAATTTATTTCAAAGTGCTGCAACTTCTCAAGGGATTGAGAAAGAGTCAAAAGCTTTTCAGCGTTGATTACACGTTACATTATGATCGATCTGGGGTTATTTTAGCCTCTCACAAATCCAAAATTTTCTTGACGATGAGGGGGACTCCGCTCCCCTTCAAACCCCCCTAACAGAAGGGGCCACATCCCCATTCTGGCAACCCCCTGATGTATCTTTTGGATGGGGGGGGGGGCGGCGCCGAAAAAGTGCTCAATTTTTTAAACAACATTTCTCAAACGAAAACGTGTTTGGGGCCCAAATAGGACATGTTTTTACTATTTGAGCCCTAATAAAAGGAGGGGTCGAAAGTGCGTTGCTTCGGGTATATATGTGGTAAAGGGTTAACAAAAAATGATGAAAAACTTTGGAATCACCTAAAACTAGTTTTTTCATGTTAACATGTGGTCTTTCACCTAATTTCGGTAAAAAATTGTTGTTTTGTAACATTTATAATTTTTTTAGTTAACAAAAAATGATGAAAAACTTTGGAATCACCTAAAAACTAGTTTTTTTTTATGTTAACATGTGGTCTTTCACCTAATTTTGGTAAAAAATTGTTGTTTTGTAACATGTATAATTTTTTAGTTAACAAAAAAATATGAAAAAACTTTAGAATCACCTAAAAACTAGTTTTTCCATGTTAACATGTGGTCTTTCACCTAATTTTGGTGAACAATTGGTGTTTTGTAACATTTATAATTTTTTTTAGTTAACAAAAAATGATGAAAAACTCTGGAATCACCTAAAAACTAGTTTTTCCATGTTATCATTTGGTCTTTCACCTAATTATGGTGAAAAATTATATTGTTTTGTAACATTTATAATTTTTTTAGTTAACCCTTTCACCCATGAGCATATTGTGAAAAATGGCCGTTTTCACTGAAAAGCCTCCTGTTTACAAGTTCAAACTGCTATGAAACTATGAAAAATGCTTCAATACTAATTAAACTTGGCACAAATGTTGACTGGACCATTGCCTTTGAACGACATGCTCAGTCTTAAATTTCCTGTTACCATGGCAACGAGGGACATCTCAAAATTGCCAAAAATCACTATTTTGCCGCGATTTTTTCCATCAAAATTTATTTCAAAGTGCTGCAACTTCTCAAGGGATTGAGATAGAGTCAAAGGCTTTTCAGCGTTGATTACACGTTACATTATGATCGACCTGGGGTTATTTTTAGCCTCTCAAAGTCCAAAATTTTCTTGGCGATGAGGGGGACTCCGCCCCCTTCAAACCCCCTAACAGAAGGGGCCACATCCCCCTTCTGACAACCCCCTGATGTATCTTTTGGATGGGGGGCGGCGCCGAAAAAGTGCTCAATTTTTTTAGCAACATTTCTCAAACGAAAACTTATGTTTGGGGCCCAAATAGGACATTTTTTACTATTTGAAGCCTAAAAAAGGGGTGGGGGGGGGGGTTAAAAGTGCGTAGTTTCGCGTATATATGTGGTAAAGGGTTAACAAAAAATGATGAAAAACTTTGGAATCACCTAAAAACTAGTTTTTTCCATGTTAACATGTGGTCTTTCACCTAATTTTGGTGAAAAATTGGTGTTTTGTAACATTTATAATTTTTTAGGTTAACAAAAAATGATGAAAAACTTTGGAATCACCTAAAAACTAGTTTTTCCATGTAAACATGTGGTCTTTCACCTAATTTTGGTGAAATATTGTTGTTTTGTAACATTTATAATTTTTTTAAGTTAACCCTTTCACCCATGAGCATATTGTGAAAAACGGCCGTTTTCACTGAAAAGCCTCCTGTTACAAGTTCAAACTGCTATGAAACTATGAAAAATGCTTCAATACTAATCAAACTTGGCACAAATGTTGACTGGACCATTGCCTTTGAACGACATGCTCAGTCTTAAATTTCCTGTTACCATGGCAACGAGGGACATCTCAAAATTGCCAAAATCACTATTTGCCGCGATTTTTTCCATCAAAATTTATTTCAAAGTGCTGCAACTTCTCAATGGATTGAGATAGAGTCAAAGGCTTTTCAGCGTTGATTACACGTTAAATTATGATCGACCTGGGGTTATTTTTTTAGCCTCTCACAAGGCCAAAATTTTCTTGGCGATGAGGGGGACTCCGCCCCCTTCAAACCCCCGTATTAGAAGGGGCCACATCCCCTTCTGACAACCCCCTGATGTATCTTTTGGATGGGGGGGGGGCGGCGCCGAAAAAGTGCTCAATTTTTTAGCAACATTTCTCAAACGAAAACTTATGTTTGGGGCCCAAATAGGACATTTTTTTACTATTTGAAGCCTAAAAAGTGGTGGGGGTGGGGGGGGTGTTAAAAGTGCGTAGTTTCGCGTATATATGTGGTAAAGGGTTAACAAAAAATGATTTAAAACTTTGGAATCACCTTAAAACTAGTTTTTCTATGTTAACATGTGGTGTTTCACCTAATTTTGGTGAAAAATTGGTGTTTTGTAACATTTATAATTTTTTAGGTTAACAAAAAAATGATGAAAAACTTTGGAATCACCTAAAAACTAGTTTTCCATGTAAACATGTGGACTTTCACCTAATTTTGGTGAAATATTGTTGTTTTGTAACATTTATGATTTTTTTTAATTAACCCTTTCCCCCATGAGCATATTGTGAAAAATGGCCGTTTTCACTGAAAAGCCTCCTGTTACAAGTTCAAACTGCTATGAAACTATGAAAAATGCTTCAATACTAATCAAACTTGGCACAAATGTTGACTGGGCCATTGCCTTTGTAACGACATGCTCAGTCTTAAATTTCCTGTTACCATGGCAACGAGGGGACATCTCAAAATTGCCAAAATCACTATTTTGCCTCGATTTTTTCCATCAAAATTTATTTCAAAGTGCTGCAACTTCTCAAGGGATTGAGATAGAGTCAAAGGATTTTCAGCGTTGATTACACGTTACATTATGATCGACCTGGGGTTATTTTTAGCCTCTCACAAGTTCAAAATTTTCTTGGCGATGAGGGGGACTCCGCCCCCCTTCAACCCCCCCTAACAGAAGGGGCCACATCCCCTTCTGACAACCCCCTGATGTATCTTTTGGATGGGGGGGGGGGGGGCGGCGCCGAAAAAGTGCTCAATTTCTTAGCAACATTTCTCAAACGAAAACTTATGTTTGGGACCCAAATAGGACATTTTTTTACTATTTGAGGCCTAAAAAAAGCGTCGAAAGTGCGTAGTTTCGCGTATATATGTGGTAAAGGGTTAACAAAAAATGATGAAAAACTTTGGAATCACCTAAAAACTAGTTTTTCCATGTTAACATGTGGTCTTTCACCTAATTTTGGTGAAAAATTGGTGTTTTGTAACATTTATATTTTTTTTAAGTTAACCCTTTCACCCATGAGCATATTGTGAAAAACGGCCGTTTTCACTGAAAAGCCTCCTGTTACAAGTTCAAACTGCTATGAAACTATGAAAAATGCTTCAATACTAATCAAACTTGGCACAAATGTTGACTGGACCATTGCCTTTGAACGACATGCTCAGTCTTAAATTTCCTGTTACCATGGCAACGAGGGACATCTCAAAATTGCCAAAATCACTATTTGCCGCGATTTTTTCCATCAAAATTTATTTCAAAGTGCTGCAACTTCTCAATGGATTGAGATAGAGTCAAAGGCTTTTCAGCGTTGATTACACGTTAAATTATGATCGACCTGGGTTTTTTTTTTAGCCTCTCACAAGGCCAAAATTTTCTTGGCGATGAGGGGGATTCTGCCCCCTTCAAACCCCCGTATTAGAAGGGGCCACATCCCCTTCTGACAACCCCCTGATGTATCTTTTGGATGGGGGGGGGGGCGGCGCCGAAAAAGTGCTCAATTTTTTAGCAACATTTCTCAAACGAAAACTTATGTTTGGGACCCAAATAGGACATTTTTTTACTATTTGAGGCCTTAAAAGGAGATGGGGGGGGGGGGGGTCTAAAGTGCGTAGTTTCGCGTATATATGTGGTAAAGGGTTAACAAAAAATGATGAAAAACTTTGGAATCACCTAAAAATTAGTTTTTCCATGTTAACATGTGGTCTTTTACCTAATTTCGGTGAAAAATTGTTGTTTTGTAACATTTATAATTTTTTTAGTTAACAAAAAATGATGAAAAACTTTGGAATCACCTAAAACTAGTTTTTCCATGTTATCATTTGGTCTTTCACCTAATTTTGGTGAAAAATTGTTGTTTTGTAACATTTATAATTTTTTAAGTTTACACTTTCACCCATGAGCATATTGTGAAAAATGGCCGTTTTCACTGAAAAGCCTCCTGTTACAAGTTCAAACTGCTATGAAACTATAAAAAATGCTTCAATACTAATCAAACTTGGCACAAATGTTGACTGGACCATTGCCTTTGTAACGACATGCTCAGTCTTAAATTTCCTGTTACCATGGCAACGAGGGAAAATCTCAAAATTGCAAAAATCACTATTTTGCCGCGATTTTTACCATCAAAATTTATTTCAAAGTGCTGCAACTTCTCAAGGGATTGAGATAGAGTCAAAGGCTTTTCAGCGTTGATTACACGTTACATTATGATTGTCCTGGGGTTATTCTTAGCCTCTCAAAAGTCCAAAATTTTCTTGGCGATGAGGGGGACTCCGCCCCCTTCAAACCCCACTAACACAAGGGGCCACATCCCTCTTCTGACAACCCCCTGATGTATCTTTTGGATGGGGGGCGGCGCCGAAAAAGTGCTCAATTTATTAGCAACATTTCTCAAACGAAAACTTATGTTTGGGGCCCAAATAGGACATTTTTTTACTATTTGAAGCCTAAAAAGTTTAAAAGTGC